AAAAACTTTCTAACTATTTAAGGTAGAGTTCTGGTTAGTAAAAATAATTCTTAACTTAATAAAAACTTTCTAACTATTTAAGGTAGAGTTCGGGTTAGGAAAAACAATTCTTAACTTAATACAAAACCCTTCTAACTATATAAGTTAAAGTTTTGATTAGGAGCAATATTTCTTAACTTAATAAAACTTTCTAACTATTTAAGGTAGAGTTCTGGTTAGGAAAAATAATTCTTAACTTAATACAAAACTTTCTAGTTAGTTAAGGTAGAGTTCTGGTTATAAAATATAATTATTAATTTACTAAAACACTCACAACTATTTAAGTTAGAGTTCTGGTTGAGAAAAATAATTCTTAACTTAATACAAAATCGTTCTTAACTTAATACAAAACCTTCTAACTATTTAAGTTAGAGTTTTGTTGGAGAAAATAATTCTTAATACAAAACTCTAATTACTTACGAAGAGCTTGTTAATCTTCTACATTAAAAAGTCGAAAACTAGAGACCTTAATACGGTCGTAAAAGTAAAGAAGAGAGTAGCAGTATGTTTGTACGGTGTTTTCTATATTTAAACAGTGGCCAAGGTAAAGCTACTATATTTATATAATCTCAATGTGTCCAATCCAGCCTGACACAACGAACACTAAATCTTACTTACGCAGTCATTAATACTTGTAGGGAGCAAATAATCCATTAGCTTTCGATGTTTGTAAATAAAAGATTGAAGTCGCGCTGAAGTAAGGTAAACGACCATCCTTCTAAGCCATCATTAGTGGTAAGAGATAACGGCAAAAGTGATGGCGAGTTCAGCCTGAACGTAACCAAGTTTTAATACTGTGAATAATTCATTCATTGAATAGCATGCTCTACTTCAAGTGGGTTGCGGAGGTTGTAATTCCATACATTATATCTGAGTTCCCACCGAATATTTAAGTTTATCCTATACGTATCCTACTCAGCTATTTTAAATCATACATTCTCAGTTCTTTGCTGACAACTCTGACAGATGACGTGTTTCCAAAATCTAAATAAAAAATACTATTGACAGTAAAAGTAAGTTAGTTGGTTATTGTTAAATCAGTACTGGCTCACACAGAAATCAGGCAAAAAAAAAGGAAATTAGTTTAGGGTAAAAGTTATGACTCATAATGCGTTTCTAGAACTCTTTATCTGGAGACATAAGAGGCCAAAAGGTTAGATTGTGGGGTGAGAAAAACATTAACACTATCAAGTCAGTGGGAGTCACAATTTAGAGAATTATAAAATATCTCATTTGGGGGACAGCTGGGGTGCAGAGCTCTCCAATGAGACGTCTAACGCCACTCCACGCTACCCCAATGAACACGCCCCTGGTTATGAGAAGAAAAGATTCTCTAACAGAAGAATGATCCTAAATTAAAAACAAAAACGGCAAATCACATTACCGTGTGATTTCTTATGAGAAGAAAAGATACTCTAACAGAAGAATGATCCTAAATTAAAAACAAAAACGGCAAATCACATTACCGTGTGAATTCAATTTCTAGATAAACTTTTGACGTATATTATTGCTATGGTTTTTATTAGCAGATACGTATTCATATTAACAGCCGCTTCAAAAAACAACACGATAACGTGACAAATACAAATGTATTCCATGTGTACATTTGTTTTCCTCTAAAACAATGGTGTTGATCAGGAATCTGAGAAACAACTTAAGCTCGTGTCTAATCATGTGCCAGGGTCACCAGAGGGATGCATCTTTTCCTAAGATATCCCTCGAGGATCATTAGCTACAGAGCAGAGATCTCCCATCTTGTTCCAGAACACTCAGCAGGTTCAGCTACTTTATTTTTGAACAGTACCAGCATGTGTCGCAATGTATCTTGTCTGCCTCTATCTTAGTTTTTTAAAGCTAAAAACGTTTAGAAATATATTTTTTTCTAAATCTACTTTTATGGTGTGTGTGTGTGTAATTATTGAAGGTGAATTAGCCATAACACACCCATAAAACACGACGCGCACGTTTAAATTCTAAAAAGTGGTTACAAAGAAAGCGACATGTTTAAAATTAGCATATCTTAAAAACTACTTACCCTAGGGTAATTAAATTTCACAAGAGGCACTTTGAAAGTCCATAAACTTTATTCAGAAAAGCTTGGATACGGTAAAGAGTGTTTAAAAAAAAACTGTCACAAAAACAAATAGGTATGTTTACCATCATTCTCATTGAGCATACGGTCCCCCAGTGGTACAGCGATATGTCTGCGGACTTATACTGCTAGAAACCGGGTTTCGATACCCGTGGAGGGCACAGCACATATATTCCTTTATGTAGCTTTGTGCTTAATAACAAAAAACAGCAACAACAATGATCCTATCAAAACATGAAGCTAATGAAAGCAGGATCTATTCTTGATAATGTTAATTGATCCTTAAAAATCTCATTTTCTAAACGTCGTTTTCAATTCTCGAAATTTCGTGAGTTATTCCAGTAGGCATCTGCTTTTAGGAACCACCACATCCAAAAATGTGACGGAGAAAATGCCGATATTCTGAGCAGCCTCGGCTGCTGTTTTTCGCCAAGAACGAGGAGCATGTTTTACGGACCCACTTGTTTCGTACGGACGATTTAATTGTTTTACGTCTTCATGGCACTTGCAAGAAAGTGGGCGTCCATATTCTCTTTAGGTTTGCCAATTGACCAAAGTATGACTGCCATTATTTTGTAGAACAGTCAAACAACATTCGCCCGATTCTACACATTCTCACGCATTTTATTCAGATCGGTAATCTGGTTATATTGAAAGATAAAAGTGAGTTAGGTGTATAGTATAATATTTGGCGTGAGTTTAGCGTGTGATGGAGCTTTGAATTTTGAAGTTGGCGAGCCGGGTTCGAATCCGTGCAATACTACAAAAATATTTCTCATACTTTAAGCTGTGGATGCGTTATACGAGTGGTAGTCAATCCCTTAGCGTTGATAGTGGATGTTAGAATGCTGCTGACTGGCTGCCTTCCCTTTGATCAGCAGCTCAAAATTAGGGACGGCGGCAGAGAGCCTTAGTAACCTTGTCATAAAATACAAAAATACAAACACAATATAATATAATTTTTAAACAAATCGTACCAACGCCAAACTTTCCTGAATAAAAGGGTGTAGAGTTTGATTTCCCCTAGAATACGTAAGATTTAAGACATAATAACTGTAAATGTGTGTGTGTGTGGGGGGGGGGAGTTGCTTTATAATCACCTCGCATTTATTGGTTAAATATCTTAATAAGTCATTTTCTACTATGAAACTCTCACAAAAATAGCACGTTCAATATGGTGTGCATTTTACAGAACATAAAATGCAGAATATTATATATTCATTGAATACAGATTTTAATCATTTTTGATCTATGTGTTTCCCACATTACTGTCCAGCTCCTCTTGATGCTTAGATAAGATTAGGCTCTTCAGGTGTTTATAA